TTTTCTAGCTCGCTAATTTCACGACGACTGAAACCAATCGTGTAACGGGGAGCAAAGCAAATAATCGATCGTCTGTAGCCATTTGTTCTATTCTATCGGCGATCGTACACAATTCAATTTATTAACTTCCACATCGATTATGGTAACAATTATATAATCGTCAGCATGATTACATTTTTGGTGGAAGAACGACGGGCAGAAGATGATAGAGAAGAAAATTATTCCTGTAATATGCTAATTAATGCTATTTAACGCGTGTTCCCGCTTGTGGAACTTGTGGTAAGATCGGGGAAAATGATAAGTTAGATGTGATTTAGGACGTGTCGAGAGTTGGTTGTCAGTGTTATTTATTATTCTCGGAACTGGACTACTTGGACGTTATAAATCGCGATCAAAACCTAACGAATTAACTCGACTTGACATATTATTTGGTTTAATTTTAGCTGGAAATAAATTCTACATGTTTATGTATTGAAAGAGTTAAAAAAAAGTTTCCAGAATTCTCGGAATAATCCAAAAAAAATATATAAAAAGAAACGTATAGTATTTAGAATACGATATTTCCTTCTCCTTCTACTTATATCGCTTTATATCTTCTATATTTATACCTTTAACAATAACTCCCTGCTTAAATTTCATATCTTTCATCAAATTCGTATTTTTACGAATTTACTACGAATAAACTACATAGCTATAAAAAATATACATTTTTCAAAATAAGCTGTTACATATATATTGTTCTGTTCGTAAACAAAGGTTCAAACGTTAGTGACACTAGAAATAGCTACCGTTAGAAACTAATTTTTCGTCGAAGATAAATGATGCTTCATGCAACATTTCCATTCTTCTGTTCGAAACTTTCGAATCTATTCGCAGCTATCTATTTTTTCGATACCAAAGTATACAAGAAAAGAATGCAGTAGCTGGGAATTCGCGGCAACTCTTTCGAATAATTCATTTCCGCTAAAGTGCCGTATTTTCCATTAATGCCGTTGGAAATCGGCGCGTCGTAAAACTAATGGAATTCCACGCGGCTATCGATCGTTCGCAACAGACGGTTACTACCTCGATGGTGGAAATGCCACAAGAAGACGAATAGGAAACGCGCCGTCGGCGTAGCGTGGCCTACGATAGTTCGACTTTCTTCGAGACCAAAAACGATAACGAGAAACTCCTTCGAGATCGCGAGGAAAAAGAATTAACGCGATTCATGTTGCACGTGGTTGCGCGAATCTTCTGAATTAACGAAACCTGGCAAATGTACTTCAATATCGAGTCTTCTTCCTTTCTCATTAGACGATCCTCGCGTTCTTTTTTCCTCGAATTTTTAACGATGCTGTAAAAGATTCAGATTGAGAAGATCAGCTATAATCTCTATTTAAAAATCCACGTTATGCCAATGACCTACCTGTCGAATATCAAATAAATCGTGATCATTCAAGCGTCAAAATGTAAATCACTCGACTATTACGAATACCCTGTCTACTCAAGGCAAACTCTTGCAAGCTTCAAACACAAGACCAACCAATCCTTTGAATAACAAATCCAATCAGATTATAACTCCCGGTTGAACCCAACTACCCATCGTTTCAACGACCGCAAACAGCATCAAACACGCACAAACTCTCAACAACAGTCAAAAGTCCTGCCTTGCAGAAGCCGAGCTGATGTTCACCGAGCATAATCCATAACACAATGGTAGTAGCTGAATCTGCAACGAGTCTGAAGTATCATAAACTATGCCAAACGTCAATTTCCCAAGAACAACGTCAATTTTCTCTGGTATCGAGCGTCCAACCGGCGAACGTCACTCGAGGATGGGAAAGATGATGGCGGCACGCTTTCGACGGCCGGCACGAATCACGGGAAATACGATTCAATAGTGGATCGAACAATCGAGCGGAAAATAAAGGAAGACATTCGGCGGGCGGGAAAGGGATCGATAGCGAGTCGAAGTCAAACAATAGGCAGCTACGGCGAAGGTAGAGGTGAAATCACAATAAGAGGCCAGCTTAATTTCCCAGCCACAAGCTGGTACGAGAAGCTTTTCGTATCGAGCAATTTATTTCGTCTGGCGACAAACGGAAAAACGAGCACGGAGCTGTGTAAGTGCACGGCGAGGAACAGCTTCGCGAAATACCAAGCGCGCACAACCCGCTCTCGCGTTTTATCGCTCTCCAACGTCTCTCTACCCTTTTCAACCCGCCCCTCTTCCATCACCGGCGTCTCTTATATACCGGTTCGAGCTTGAAAGCTTCTAAAGTTCAGAAGTCAAAGCCGCGCACACGCTGCGGCGTACGGTTTCAAAGAGCCTTTTCCACGCTCGTCATCCTCGCGACCGATCGTGCTTTTAGCCGGTTCTCCTCGCGACATTCCACGACTCGTTTCCTTCGCCTGTGTTCGGTTACTTAACCGAGTGATCCATGCATAATCGTGTAAAAGCCTTTCATTGGTTGAAAGGAAAATGGAATGCCAAAGCAAGTAAGTAGATCGGGAATGTTCGTGATCAGACTAATGTCAACTGACTGGAGAAAATTGCGAATCGTTCGCTTTCGATTTCGATGGAAATTTATAGGCTTGAAGAACAGTCGAAAATAATAAGTGCGTATCTTTGCTTTCTTTTTCTTAGTCGTAGTAACTCGTGTGAAATCGCCTTGCAAAGCTCGAACCCTTAAGCATCAGGAACGAAGGACGAACGTCAAGGCCGGGAAGAAACGCGCTTAGAATCCTCGATTAAGCGATTGTTTAAATCGCGAAAAGTTGGAATTTGATCGTTTCGATTGCAGAAAATAAATCCTCGAATTTCCCAATCTTTCTATCTTTAAAATCAGCAAATGAAATGGAAGCTGAATTAACCCAGTGATAGTTATGCATTACAGATAATATTTGTCGGATACAAACTGGTTATTTTTATCGTGAGAGAGAATATAGAAGGTAAAATTTGATATTCGAGTCGATGATATACGAGTCACGAGTGAGAATACGTGTATCCTACAACATTTTTGTCGGGTCGTGTCATGATGCAGCATCCATTAAAAAACAAAAAAAAACAGAGAGAGAGAGAGAGGGAGAAAGGAGAGAAAAGGAGAGAAACAAAAAAGAAACAGAAAACAAGTGGGAGCCGGTAGATTGCTAAAATAACAATTCCCTTTGCCGGCAAAAAATCTATTCCATTCAATTTCCATACAAATACCTGTTCGCCACGTTCATCACGTTCAGCTGCGTGGAAATGTTAAAACGAGATGCATTGTGTTTGGGAAGTTTGTTTCGACGACAGAAAAAGAATGGTAAGGGAGATATAGAGAAGGATAGCGAAGTTATTTCTGTCGGTTCGCCGAGATATTTCCTGGCTAATATTTAATTTCAACAAACAGAATCAACAAGAAACACGATAACGACGATCTTACTTTTCATGGCGCTTGTACGAAGTTCCTCGAGCTTCAATGCAAAATGTTTGCGTCGCGAAAATTCTTCCGGTTGAAAACACGCGTTGTGAATATATTAACACTACAAATATCCAAGATGGATAATATATTCGTAAAATGTATTTACAAGTGTTCGAACACTTTCGCGAACCTGTATAATTACTATTGGCATAATTAACGTTGACTTCGTAGTAATAGAATTCCATTTCTCGGAGGGAAAATTTTAACTGCTCGATTAACAGACCTCCAATTCATCGAATCCATCTACTTGATAATGATAACACGAATAAAAAATAACAGGTGTTAAGGAAGATTGGTGAACTCCTATTATATAAATTCCAGTTGAATATATCAACTGCTACACGAATTGGCTGTGTCAGCTTCGAAATATTTCGCGCGAAAGCTGTGGAATTAACGAATCTGAGAAAAATTGATCAGACAATTACATTAACACTCACGTAAGACATTTGGTGAAATATCGGTGACCTTAAAATGTGATAATCCTAGATATTGTACCAACGACCTCACGTTATGACGTTCTTAATAGCGATAAGCCTCATTCTTGATGACGCAAAGTGGTAACAATCTGGATACAATGAAATATTGATAACCTCGATTCGCAATAACCCTAGATAGTTGTGATCTCGACTCACGGTGCTTCCAAACAATTATAACCGTGTAGTGTAACTCCAACAATAAGTAACGAAAGAACTCGAGTCATCGTAATTGCGTATATATAATAAATGTATTTACTTTCGATAAAATATCTCGGTGTTGAATCGCGATACATTACATATTCTTCACAATGTATCGTCTAGCCACTGACCATTAAATATGGACGACGTTAAACCATGTTAACCTTGAATCACGTCGACGCTAATTCAGAATACTCTTACGTAATCTAAACTTATAGGCGACCACGAATCGTGTTAACCTTGAATCATGTTGACATCTATTCGCAATAATCTTAAATAATCAAAGGCAAACCCTAAACCATAACAAGTTGGATCCCTGCTTTAAATTGTGACAATTCTATACCCTTAACAACCTAACAAACCAGCTACCCCTAGAATCCTTGGACCCGTCCATCTCAAATAAATTCGCAGCAAACGTTCCCACTCATCCGCAAACAAACAGGCTACAATAAAACTTGACGTTAGAGAAGAAAAACTGTTACACAGAGGGAAGGAAACGTTTAAACGGAGATACTTTGGAAACACCTGCGCGTGTTGCCTTTGCTTGGACCAGCTATTTTCTCTCACGTTGAGCGTTTAATTGCAGCTGGGCCTCGTTCGCAGCAGGCGGTTTGAAAGGCCGTCAGTCGTCGAGCTCCGTGCAAATCGAGTTCACCGCTCGTGAATGTCGCTCGTAATCTCGCGAATTTACCGTCGTCGTCCAAGGTGTATCGGTCACTTGCGATCGTTTCCACAGGCAAACACCAAAGTCGCCACGTGCAAACTCGCCTCTCTCAATTTGCGGACAACGAAGCGTGCTATGCACGCTCTGTCGTCAGTATGACACAGTCAGTGGAGTAATTTATGCGAGCGAGAAAACAGCGTTGCTATCAAAGTTGGCGGTGAACTGTACTTTGTTGCGAAGAAACTGAACGAACCAATGATAAATTGTGCATTGTTCCGAGGATAGAGGTACGAAGGAAGATGTCGATTGGCATGTTCATTGCGCACGAAACGAAACTTTAAGCTGTTAATTTGAACGTGGCTTGAAATCGTCGCGTTGACTGCCACGCGAATTTTATATATATATTTAATCATTTTTCCAATATTCGATTTTTCGAGTGTTTAAATCTTCGCATAATTAAATTTCGAAATAATTCAAATTTTCAAATATTCAAATTTCCATTCAACGTGTAGAAGCAGATATTGTATAAAAATTACTTGTCGTTAGAGTAGTATCGCAGGTGATGAAAATCGGATCCGTGGAGAACATGTTGAGATGGTAGTATACATTGTTATGCAGATGTTTATAGCTTGTCATGTTCTCGGTAACTCCGTTTCGAAGCTACTGATTTACATTCCTTAGTGTTTTCCCTTTATTTTTCATATTTCTTTTTTATTTTTACCTTGGGATGATTGGAGCTTAAGGCGATAGAGGACTTATAGTACGTTTTGAATTTGTCAGTCTTGGTATTTCAATTTTTTCGATCTTTCCTTCGTTTTTGGTATTTGTCGAAGAGCAACTGAGATTTATGGTGATTGCTCAATTTTAATTTTGTATAGTAGGAAATATTTGGTAAAAGTATAGACGTTACATGGACATTAATTCTCATGAAATTTTATATTCCAGGGACTGAAATATTATGATTTTCAGTATAAAAGGGATACCGAGTTTTCGTCGAAGAAAGGAGAATCTAAACTAATGGATTACCCGGTATTGCCAGTTCTTTGATGAAACTACCTAACTCATTTCCATTTCATAGCAACATAAAAATTCCAATCTTTTCCAGTCGATAAGTTCCGTATATATACGTCGTAAATTTACAGAAATACGCATGAAACAGAGCAGGAGGCGCCTTTTCACGATCTTTCCCGACGTCGCGATTGTTGCAATCAACTTTCCGACCAATTAAAACTCAATAAAAGCAGGATATGGCGCCGGAAATGTGACAACCCGCACACGACAAGTCATTGCGCAGCCACGCACAACGCGATACACAGGTGGTGAAGATCCAGCGATAAAACCAGAAACTGGAAACGTATCGATGTTAATTCTAACTGTAATGTCTCTCAATCTCAAAATACATGATCGTAGAACAAAATCGTAAAACGAAAATAGCCAGCCGAAAGGATAAACAATAAACTACTGGAAAATCCTACGATACTCTAGTTCTACCTCTAGTTCTGCAATATTCTACAATGGCACCCTGGGTTTAAGAGGCTCATACACAATCTACAATACAATACTGATCTATTCTCTATCCTCTCTAATACCTTTTGCTACCGAACACGTACAATATTCTTGACAATATTTTCGCTTAAAGACAATTCTATTTAAAGTATGTATAATATATACACGGTGATTGAATTGTAACGTTGTGTGCGATATCGGATTGAATTGTGAGTGTCTCCCTGTGTGCTCGTTACTTACCAATATTAATTCTCGCATTTCAAAATATTTCAATATTCGCGTCGATCTTCAATCTGGATATTAGTATCAACAAATATTGATAATATCGATCGTGTACGGGTCTACCTTTTAGACGGATCGAAGTTTAAACGTTCATCGACCCAATAATCCGAGCAACGCCTTCGATACGAACGTTCGATGCTAATAAATTTCCCGTGTATTCGAACGTTCCTTTTTCTTTTTCCTTCTTTTTTCTTTTTCTTTTTTTTTTATTGCTTTATTTTATTTTCTTTTTTTTATTTCAATTTCTTTTTTTTTATTAGCGTAATAGGGAAAGTTCGTTTCGCCCTTACCCCCCCCCTCTCTCTCTCTGTCGTTTCGTTGATTTACGAACGAGGATTTTTGTACCTGCGCTTGAATTTCCATCGAAACGTAATTTTTATTACCGATCCGCGATTAAACGGTATTCTCGAAAATCCATTTTATACGACGCTGGCTTAAGTCGGCTATGTTATTCGAAATATTAATGGCGAGAGTTGGTAATAGCAATTTGAACGAGTTGAACGTAAGAGGATGTATAAAGACTGTTGAGAGGCGTTTAGACGATCGATATTATTGTCAATATTATTGTCAATATTTAAGGTGCTCAACATTGTATTGACAATATATATTGACCGCCTAGAGGGTCTCTTGCGTACGATAATGTTGAAAACCTCAAATATTGACAATAATATTGACGATAATATCGATCGTCAGAAAGCTGCTTTAGACATTGTCATGTATCCTGCGTAAATGTCCTAACTTTTATACGGCTGTTAATTTATTCTACGTTTTACAAATGTTTTCCCAGATAAAATCTTTTATCACTGGATCCAATAACTTGTCGATTTTCAGTATTTATATCTACTCTAACTTTGTCGATTTTCACGTGTTTTGAAAAGAAAACCCAACGTCGACTGAAATAAATTAAACGCTTCTAAAAAAAAACACTTCTGCTACCACCTTTATCGAAACGGAAGACGAATTTTATTTGTTAATTTCAGGATTCGTGCTCTTTGAAGTTTTTCTCAGTCGTCACTACGTCGATCGGAATTTTTCCTGCGGCAATTCAAGATTTTAATATAAATAATCTTGACCAGCAAAGAGTTATTATCTTTTATTTGATTTCCGTACGTAGAATATCGCAACGACATCGCTAAAAATATTCTCATCGCTGATTCTTTAACCCCTTGCACTCGTATGTCGAGTGTGACTCGGCATCAGTTTTTATTATCTCAGGAGCTCCTTTGTCGAGTCTCACTCTTTCAATCTCACACTTTTTTATAAAACGTGCGAAAGAAAACCAGGACTGCATCCTGGTAATTGTTTCAAGATATATCATACACTTAAAAATTACGACATACAACAATAGTATGAATAAAACTGGTATTTAGGTGAATTCGTTTCTTCCTTTATTTATTTAAATTGTCTTATTTTTTTAGTTAAAGTAAATTTCAAATAAAACACTTAAAAGCGTTGGGAGCTGCTGGTAAACGAAATTGAAATAAAATTCGCAGTACAAAGGGTTAAAGATTATCCCACGAATCGCGGTGATTCCCGAAAATTCGACATAAAAGCCAGGAAAAGAGCTAAAAATCCTGAATTGCGTTACAGTAGAATCATACCGCGTCTACAAAGACACACATAGGTATATCGTTCTCCAGACGCGAGCAAACAAACACGGCAAATCAATGTTATTAAACGCATACTTGTAACTCGTGCTCATCCTATGTTCCAGAATTCAATCCTCGTATTCACGATGGAGCCGAAATGAAATGGAACGAGAGGCGGACAATTTAATCAGCGGCAGACGCCGGAAGGTAAACGGCGCCGGCCAACGACAAGATCGAATTGTTTCCGGTAATTACTTTCGTTCTTTGTCCAGCGTTAGATTACGCAAAAAAACAACACTTTCGGCTTGGATTTACCTGCGATCAAAAAAAGCCCCCTGCACCATCCTCCTTTTTGATTCTTCTCTCGTTATCCATTAGCTCCCTGTTTTCTACCTTTGTCTTTAGTATTTTTTTGTACCCTTCTTCACTTCCTCTGTACTTATTTCCGCATCTTTGTCCATCTGATAGATATAAATTGCTGTCGAAAAATTTGCAACCATTTTTTGGTTAATGGCTCCTTGGTTGGTTCAGGCTAAGAAGAAAAATCGACAGTGCCATAAATTAGCAGCCCTTCTTGATCCTCTGTTGTAAAATAGGAAAATCGGCTGTTTTGTACATCAAATACAAAATAAATACTTTTTACAACATGGTTGAAAGAAACGATTGACATAAGAACATATCTCTACCAGCTGTACACTTACCAGTGTTAGATCTCAGAAATCTGTATTGATTTTATTGCAAGTTCGCAATACCTGTTGTTAATTCTATTGGCGATTAAAAATCGCTCTAACGGGTATAATTTTCTTTAGTTTATTTTATTTTAATTAGATTCTTCGCTGAAAAATATTCCAAAGTAAAGGAACTCAAAATTGACTTCTCTTTGAATCTGTAGGTACTATGAAACGCACGGTGATTGCGCACGGATTTTGCATATAAACATGTATAGACACTGTAATACATGTAGATGTAAATTTATCTATAATGTAAATAAATTTACATTTATATATAGACAGGACCAGTAGTGCAGGTAATTGTACCTATTACCGTGGATCGACCGCGTTTATCGGTTCGGATTTCCGTGGACCGGCATAAAGCCGCGTGCACACTGATCGCGTTACACGCTCCACCGATCGACGCTATCCCATTACACGCTGATTCGGAAGCGCAAAGAGTTGCGCGCCACTGTTTGCGCGCGATTATCGACTACAAAGAGAAGAATCAAGGTGCGGAACAGTGAACGACGATTTCGAAACTCGATCAAAATCTACGTGTGTTTCTTTCTGTTCTATTATACGTAGAATATTTTTTTTTCATTATATCTGAGATGTGTTTCAAGGGCTGACTTTTTTCTATTCGGACGTATTTCTTCGATTATACCTGAGATGTTTCGGGGGAGAGATGTGTATGTGTGTGTATGTGTTTTCGGAGATAATAGATTAGGCTTTAAAAAAGTAAAGAAGGAAAAAAAGAAACAGATGAGTTGATATGATTTCTGGTTAAATTTAGAAGAAGAAAAGAAACAAACTATCATTATACTCTTCGTCAAGGTTATCGAGAATTGTGGCAGTTGGTTGGACCAAGTTTATGTTCAGATTTTTCATCTGTATAAATCTATTGTGATACTCGAATTTCCATATTTCAATATTCCTCCCATTTTAGCAAACAGAGAGAATTTGTTTTATGGTGACGTATGTACTTTATACATGGATCATAAAATCATGCGAATCGAACTTTATCGGTTTGAATTGCAAATTCGTAATTTGTTCGGGAGAAGCCGTGGAAAAACAAACTGATGCAATTCCGTGGCGAAATAATTAACGCGCCCGCGATTCGTGATTAATCGTTCGAAAGCAGACGATCGATGAAAACGAGGCCGCGTCTCTAAAAGTGCGAAGCTTCGTATGCGTGCGTCTTTTATGCGTAATAGCGTAAGATTCGATAGCCGAGTGATTGATCGGTCATTTCCTCGTCCCTTTTTGGAACCGTTGCCTCCTTTCTCCTTTGAGATTTTCAGCTTGTCATATAGCTTGTCGTTCACTTCGATCTCACGTTGAAAAACCATCTTTGATTTCGTATTTATGGAAAAATATTTTATCGTTGAATATGAGTAACTAATTACGAATTTCGTTCTACATCTCGTTGAGAAAATTTCAATGAAAATAGTTCAGAGTCAACATTAAACTGACTGTAACTGAAATAAGAGTGAATGAAGATATTATTTTGCAGAATAATAACACTTTTGAATAATATAGTTTCTTTTCCATTTGGAAACTTGTCGAAAATTCTGCAATAATTATTTAGTCATACAATACCCAGTAATGACAAAAGTTTTCATTTGCCTTCGCCTGTTTTAGACTGGAATTTAAACTGTTGTAACACTGGAATCTTCCAACATCGGTGTGATTTTCATACATTTTAAGTGTGTAGAAAATTCAGTAAAAAGTCGCCAAAATACCTTTGAGCATGTAGTTTAACGTTATAAAATTCCAAAAGGTTAGACAATCTTCTTATTAAAAATAATTTTGCGATACAGTAAACCTAATCGGTTTACTGTAGTCGCGCTAGGATTCTAAAAGACCGCAGTGTGTCATCCCGACGTTAATTAAACTTCCACCGTGCCAGACTTAATAAGAATTAAGCGAACCACGACTAAAACTTGGAAAATATTATCTGAAACGCTGTCCATCTTAAAACTAGCACTTTCGCGAACAAACATCGAAGCTAGCCTAACCCTAGCCGAAGCAAAAGCTAAATTAACCTAATGATCTAAACTGAAACCGGCTCGAACAAACAAATAGCGCAGGCTAACTCGAACTTCTCTAAAAGCGAGAACCAAGCGTATATTCTATCTATT